CACACGCGCCCGAGAGGCCGGTTGAATGCTCTTCGCTCGGATGTGGGTTAATTTAACCCCTTAGATCTGAAATACTAAGATAGTCATGTACACCAAATTCGCAAGTTGGGCTGATCTCTATCTGAACTCACCTATGTGAAGATTTGAGGTCCATAACTCATGGCCAAATAATGTCAAACAAAGCCAAACTTAAGATCGGTGTTCAAAGTGCCCCCGACCTCGTCGCAACCGTCTTTAACCTAGATACCTTTTCTAAGCAAGATATTATTGGTGTTTATTCTAGGCTAGTAACCTTGTTTAACTTAAAGAAGGTCAAGGTGACCGAAAATATGCGAGACTTTTTGTATTTTTTAATTTGAATAAGCGTTACGGATTGCGCTAGGCGGTTCATTCATTAAATGTAAGCCTTAGTCTGGGCCATTTTAGGTCAACGACTTACTCTAACCTTTAGCAAGACGATGGAAGATGTGTGTTATGGACCCTGTTGTCAAGAAATTAGCAATAAGCATCAGAAACTACCCCATAAATCAAGCTCGCCAATAAAAAAAATCAGCCTGATTTTGATCTTCGTCTAACCTTTGTACCTGACCCCAGGTCACCGAAATTTGTTGTAAGTCTAAATCAAGTTATTTTATTGCATGATAAACTATCTCAGAGATGCATGGCTTCACGCAATACTCCGCTGCCGCACTAGATTGAACGATTCCTTAATATTTGCCCTCGGTGACAGCCTCGGCCTGACTGACCTGCCACAGGCCAACGACCTTAAAGGGTAGATCTTATACGCTGTACGATAAGATCTGTTATTCGACTGCCTAGAGCTATGGAAAGTTTGGCATGACTAGAAACCATTCGAAAATCCTCATAAAAACTTTCGAGTTGAGCTTGATCCCCAACGGGACGCGTGTGAAGGCTTTTTCCAGGATTACTTCTAAACGGTCTTGAGCACCATGCTTAAATTGGGGGAACGTAATTTTACGCCCATTCGCACATATTGTAAAAATGGCAAGTTTCTGAGCTTGACAGTTCATGATCTGCGGTGGCCTTTTGAGGTCATGTCGGCAACATATTGCTCCAAAGTGGCAAAAAATGCGTCTTTCTCTTAGGAAACGTATTCCAGAGGGGTCTTCTAGTTTTATATTGTTATCTATATCCATTTCGGGTTCACTCATGTCGTTCTTGCGACTTTTGCAGGGTCAGGTCAACAAAGGGAAAGCTTCATAACTTTTAACATTTGTGACCAGACTTGGCCGACTGCATGTCTTGCAATCTAAGCCTTCATCGCGCATATCTTACATCTTTGGGATATCTTGAAATGTCCGGCCCTTTTTTCCCCATTAATGTGGCTTATTCGGCATATTGATGTGTTAGACGGGCAAATGCAAAAATATATATCACCGCGTTGACCTGTTATGGCATGTCGAAAGCCAAACATGCTAATATCCATTAGTGTCTGTATGATATAATTTTACCAGCGCTATTCGACGCCGTCCTTCGCCTCGCCGCAGCATGCCTCGCTTTTGAGATAACAAGAGGGTTTATACAGTGCTAATCGACTAATATGGCTTGATTTCATCCGCCATAGGTCTCATTTATCATTATTCAGATTCAGACACACATATTTCACAGAGTTTGACGAGTGCTTTCTAATTCTGCTTTCTGCTCTGTTCCAGCTTGTTTGATTTTCGATTTCAGAGGGCTTCTGGGACTTGCCTCTTGTCTGTTGAAGGTGAATCAAAATTCCGTAGGGCGAGAATTAAACATCGTCTTTGCTTGTTTAAGGCATTTCCAGTCAGACCATGGTTTCAGCGAAGGCAATTTCTAGGGAATCGTTCAATCTGATCCAACAGCGGAGTGTTAGACGAATCCATACATATCTGAGATGCTTTCTTAGACAACACAACAGTTGAATGAGCAAATTACACTGACCTAAGATCAGGTATGGAGGTCACACCAAGGTCTAAACCAACCTGTTTTTTTACCCTAAGGCATGCTGCATGGGATAGTTTCTGGTGCCCATTTCGAGTTTATTGATAGCAGGAACCGCGTTATGCATCTTTCATTGACTTCTTAGAGGTCAGAATAGGTCATTGAACTAAAATGATCTAGGTCAACATTTTGTTTTAAGAACATACTGCCTAACGTAATCTTTGTCGCTTAGTCCAATGCAAAACTCAAAGCAATCTCGTATGATTTTGGTCACCTTGACCTTCAAAAGGTCAAACAAGGTTCTGAACTTAAATGAGAATGTGACCTTTTGCTTAGAAACGGTTATTTACGTTCTGGGGGCACTTTGAAGACCAACCTGGAATCTGACCTTTTTTTGACTATATTCGACCTAAGAGTCATAATCTAGGAAGCTCAAACTTTGACATAAGTTAGTTCATGTACAGGTTAATACACCCTGCAAATTGGGTGTCTCTAGTTTTCTTAGTTACCGAGATCTCACGGGGGTCAAATTGACCCCCCAACCGAGCGAAGGTTGTCTAGCCGGCCACCCGGGTCCGTGTTAAGGCAATAACAGCTAGAACATAGTTTGCTGGTCAACTGCATGACTTCACGCTATGCCTTAGTCATTGCAATCCTGAAATAACGAAAGCAATATGCGTTGTAAGAACATATCAAATGGCATCTTCACCGCGACATCAGCGGTGACCCCAAACAAACACGATATATTATATATCCATAAGAAACGCTGGGATTCCTGTATTCATCTGAATCAACGTATTGGTTGGAGAATGACAAAGAAAGTACCGTGAGCTACAAACACACTTCTGGTAGGTTGTAATGGTAAGGCCGTCCTTAATCACCTCACAATGATGTCACAATGCGACTTGTAGCAGCCTTCGCTTCCGAACTATTTTATGATCTTGCATGCTGCATTGGCGCGTCATACTGACGATGAGTAACATTTTGTATCCCCAGCTCATAGCATGCACGGTTGAGAGTGGACGGGTTGGGTTAAATTTCGCCGACCCCTACCTCCCGCGCCGTCCTAAGAATCCTAAAGGAAAGGAACAAGAATTACAGGTTGGGTGGTTTCTTCACCATACTGTGTTCTAAAAGCGCATTATAAAAACGCATGCAGGGTTAAATGAGGTCGAACAAGTAAAATTTCGGACGTCTTGCGTCGTTGCATCCTTGCATCCTTATTATTTTCTACGAATGTGCTTTAAGGCTGAAATGGGGCTTAGATATACCATATGCTACATGTTGACACGCTATACCACGTGATAGATACGTCCCATCCAAGATTTGACCTACGCTGTTTGCAAGTCAACCAGATATGATGAATGTGATGAAATATTTCTCCGTGCGAAAAATGCAAGAATTGTTGCAAATTTTGCGAATCGGTGCAGGGTATTGAAGATTATGATGACCTTTAATAAGCTCGACCTAAATTGACCCCAGTGACCCCACATGATCTTCACATTATAGCGCAAAGCACATCCATAAGAAGTCGTTAGTGTTGTGTGGAACATTTCCTTGCTGCGGATATACTGGTAGCGTATCAGCGCGGCACATAAGGCGTTGCCACCGGCTACGTTGTTGACCGCCAGCCTGCATTTCTAACAAATAAACTCCAAGGTCATCCTATGCCCCATGGAAATGATGTCATACATTCAGACGCTGCCGTCCAAAGGCAAAACCCCATATGCTAATTTTGGCCATTTTGCACTTTCTATGTCGTCGGATCCATTTACTCGTGCTGATTTCGATTATTTAAACAATCAATTATAATGTCCACAAGCTTTTAGCCCTTTCTTTTAGCTAAAAGTTCGCAAAAATGTCAACTACTCGCTTAAATATCAGAATGTAGCATGAGAAGATGAATGAGATGACATAAGCAACGCAAAATGGTCAGAAATGAACGTATGTGGTTTTGCCTTTGAACGGCAGAACGCTGCGGCACACCTCTTTTCCACCTGTTCACCAATGAGTATCCCTTCGTGCTCCTGAGGTGCACGTGGTTCAGTACGCAGACGATGCTGAACATTTAGTTTCAGGCAAAAAAAAAACAGCTTCCTCTCGCAGGACTGTGGACGCTTGGTTCTCCTAGCCATGCTGTTTCAAAGCACACATACAAACAGAACTTAGTTTTTTAATTCCGCCAAAACAATTTAGCATGATCCTGATCTCCATTCAGTTGCTCAAGGATATAGTGAGTGAGAGTCCCAATGTGGGAAATCTCGGCATCGTTACTTCCCTTACAGGATTTGCAGCACCGAGAGCAACGGGCTCTCCCCTCTCCCTTCCAGGACAACCCCGATATCTGCTCTCCAAATGCTCATCAGAACACTGCTCGCCCACGTTTCCTCGCGCGCGACGACTACGGCCAGCAAACGCCGCCTCTTGGGGAACGTCATACAACATTATACTCTTTATACTCCTGTTTATAAGCGGCCATTGGGGCTGCGCACCACGTCGACAGGCGGTAGGCGTTCTTAAACGCGCGGTGGATGACCTGTTAGCGGTATGGTGTGAGCGGTGCTGAGTGGAGATGGGCACATGCATGTGGGCAGGCGTGCGTGCGTGTTCACACGAACGCCAGCGCGTGCTTGTGCTTCTTTGTTTTGTGTGGCACGGTTTGATAAGACAGTAGTCATAGTCTTAGCCCACGTATGAAAACCAGGGGAATATGGATATAGATGCGCTGATATTTCGGCAACATGCCATCATCGAATGCCGAAGTCGATCTACGTGCGTCATGTCCCTCGCATTTGCACTTAACAACTTACGAAATTGTGTCGCGGTTTTGTAGCATTTCTTTTGTAAAGCAGTTGTCCCTTTTTACAGCTGCTCTCCTATAAATCCACTTTACTCCAAGAGTGGTATATTATATATAATATATGTATATGTATGTATATACATATCTACTATATATGTATATATGTTTATGCCTGCTGTATCGCATGTTTTAAGTTTGACACAGTGTTTTACAAAAAGATCGGTAACCGAGCCCCAACCGTGCTTCTCCCGTTTCGGTTCGAGATACTTACAGAAAAGTGATAGTACGAAGAAGGTGACGACCTGCCACTTGCCAATGCTGCCGATCTGCTGGAGCAGTGGGTCCTCAGACTCCTTGGACATCTTGACGAACCTGTGAAGATGGCAGTTGGACCGTTCAAAGCACGAGTTGGCTAGAAGTGTGACAAGTGTTAACACATCCCGGTGGTATCAATGCATGTGTACTTTTCCATCATGCCTTACTTCCTGTCCATGTAGCATGAACGGGAACTGATAATTTTTCAAACATGGGAACTGGGAACACCTGGCCCATTCCCTCTTTGGTTGCCCTTGCTAGTTAAGTTGTTAGAAGAGTGCTGCTGCGGCCCATACTGATCTAAGCAGCAGACTTTCATATAAGATTTATCTTGCCTCATACGTGATTATAATGTGCTTTCTATCCTCACCAGCAGGCTAAATAGAAGGGAGACGAAGACCAACCGTAAATTGCTAAACTCAGGACCAGGTAAATAAAGGATCGTGACATTGTAAACCACCACGTTATATAAGCACGTGAAGCATGTTGGGCGCCACCATGACAATCTGAGAACAGCTGTGCGCTTCACAGCAATCGCAGGAATAGCAATCGTGGCATGGACGGGAGCTGCCTGACAGTAACATAATGACATGATTAGGGCGTGCCCTTGGCAATGAGTGAGCGCATTACCTGCCTACACCTCTGTGATGTAACCTGTACATTCAAGGCTTTTGGTCCTCGCATGTTGTTGGAAGAACTAATTTCTATTCAGGTTTGGGGTAGGAGCACCACGATTCTTGTCCTACTTTTCCTCATGTATTTCATAGAACCCAGTTAGAGTTATCTTCATACCTGCGACATGGAAAAACTAATTCATATATGTTCAGCCTCCATGAGTTTTAGCTTAAAATTTTCAACCTCAATGACTGTTACTTCAGAAGTTTTAACATCGATGGCTTTTAGTCGAATAAGCTTTAACCTCAATGGTTATGCAAGGTTCGCTATCGTCGATAAAACCGCACCCAAGACGACATGGTTGAATGGGTCCTCAGACGTAACTTGATTGTTCATGAGACATTCTCTTCTCCGCATCTTGGTGGCATAAAACAAATTAGGAAGCCCTTGCTCATTGGATTAGAAGTAAGCCCAAAATTCCGGGTGAACATATTCACATTACCAAATCGGCAGGTCTGTGTATCCCATATAGCCAAACAAGAAATTCACTTAGTCTTTTTGGGATGAGGTATCGAATTTTCTGTTTCGGCCCAATCCGCCGCTCAGTTCAATCCGCAATTCCCAATTTTATTCAGTCTGCGAAGTACTCTGCGTGTTATATAACCCCCACGTGATAGAACATAACCCCACATATATAACATATAATATATAATAACCCCACATGGCATAACCCACACGTGATAACAGACTAGAGTGACAATGTTTTTGAACGGAACCCAAGCTGAGGAAGGCACGGTGCCTGAACAAACCACCTGCAAGTTATAGGTTTTCTTTTTAAACTGATTATTGCGGCAGTGTTGCAATCAACATGCACCATGTTAATGCCAGCTTCATGATCAAGACATTAAACCAGATCGGCAAATCGCAAGGATTAAGTTACCAGCACTGATGAGAGAGAGGGAGAGAGAAAGAGAGAGAGAGAGAGAGAGAGAGAGAGAGAGAGAGAGAGAGAGAGAGAGAGAGAGAGAGATCGAATAGAGAGAGAGAGAGAGGGAGAGAGAGAGAGAGAGAGAAGAAGAGAGAGCGAGAGAGAGAGAGAGAGAGAGAGAGAGAGAGAGAGAGAGCGATAGTAGATGATAGAGCTATCGAGAGAGACAGAGATCGAGAGAGAGATATATAGATAAGTTAGAGAGAGAGAAAGTTAGGACACAACATGTTATTCAGTACATAAGCACTTGGAAAGCAGCAATAATTATTTCCAAGTCAGGTCTTGGAAAAACCACCAAGTTTCAAAAAGTTATACGGCTGAGAATGAAGCTGTAAAAGTACCGGGACAGTCAACATAAAACATGCGAGTACAGAATGCAGATCGACAAATTTGGTTATTGGTCTATTGATGCATTAACCCTTGCCCCGACTCGCCGTTTTCATAACACCGATTGATAGGGGGAGGGGGTCGATGGGACCCCCATGAGGCTTTCAAACTAATAAAGATAGAGCTGTGCAGAAGCAGACTACTAGACTAGTCTCCGCGAATTTTCGCAATTGGTACTAGTTTGTATGCTGTTAGGTCACAAATGACCTCATCATTGCAGGCCAAATGTATAATTGTACTCAGATATTGCATTTTTCAGCTTTACATCACATATACTAAACTATGGCTTGTGACGACACAGCACATAAATAGGCATGTTTCTTGTTTAATTTTGGGTACGATTATGCATATTTTTAAGGTGTTTTGAGCTTTCGTTCATGATGTGTGGCTCCGTTAGCATAGCAATGTGCTCTTTGACATTTTGACATTGACCGCCTTGACATTTTCAGGAGCGTGGCCACATTTCTTAAGCAGAATCAGGCAGACAGACAATTGAAATGACGCCATCATGCACGTCAGGCTGATCAGAGCAGCGATGAGAACAACTGCGTTGCCGCGACGAGCGCCGTCAGGATGTTTTGGTGCGAGCCAAGTGCTAAAGGAGTTCAACAAAGCCTTGTAATTGTTTACAGGAAACGCCAGATGGCGCTGTTCTTTACTCAAACAAGCTAGAAGCACAATTATGAAACTATCCAGAGCGCTCGGGTGCCGATGACGTGCTCGGCGGCCAACTCCGAACGTGGTAAGCAGTGGCCAAGTGGATAGGGCATCAGGCTACAACGTGGGGTCAGGGGTTCGAATCCCGGTTGTGCCACACGTTTTGAGTGCGCGATGCAGTCGTTGACGCTTCGTAAAAGAATGCGTAGTGGCGTCCGTCGCTGGCTCCTTTTTATCATCCAAAAGCTCTAAATGCCGTCATGGACCATGCCTTCTACGAGTCGCAGGGCCCAAAATGCGTGAGAACGTCGGATATCACGCTAGAGAAGACGGCAGATTATCCAACGACATGCGTCTCTGGCCCAAATCTAGTCTTAGGTGATACCTTAGTATGGCTGGCACTCTCTCTAGGGAGAGAAGCATCCTGGTCGGCTTTCTAGGGAGGCAGGCAATTTCAGCACGAAGGTGCACGGTGAACATATCGAAGCAAAGTAGCGGGCATTTTGGGACTGCACAATATCCTACGAAGGACTTTGTGCTTTAAGGGTAACTCACCACCGTGCGTTACGCGAGGGAGACACTGGCCATGCCTACAACACCTAAGATAGCGATCAACTGCAATGGCGGCTGAATCTATCACAGCTGTAGGAGCGTGGGCTTGTCAGCAGGCTTTCAGAATCACGTGTTACATTGCGTTACGCACATTCATGGCTGCATTTGGCACAGGCACATAACATGGTGACGTCAAAAATGGTACGCTACGATATTCTGCTAGTCAGCGACATCGAGGAAAAGCACGGGATGCCAGCGCGCAGACAAAGGTAAGCTCACATGGGAATGGAATGAATAACAAATCAACGTTGGGCCTTATGCTCACGTAGTCGCATATAAATCCTGCTTTTCGACACGACACGACACCTCGCTGCTTGTTGCCTTTTTTCGTTGCGTTTTTTATATAATGTGATGGACGGTGTTACCTGTCACAGCAGGCTATGTAGCGAGACTTCACTCAGATAGGTGCATCATACTGTATGGTTTGCATCATATGTAAGTATTTACGACGTAGCCTCGTGGGTACGACCACGATCCGGAGATGTTTGTTGAATTGACTTACTGAAATAATAATATCGCGTACCAGTCTCCCACAGGGCTGATTTTGACCACAAACCTTGAGAACGTAATTACGTACAAAGGTGTACAAATTCGTGGCGCCACTTTGTGTACAAAATGTAGGAGAATATCTGTATATGTTTGACGTAGAGCCTATTTTTCAGTATCTGACTTCCTTTCAGCTCCACATATTCAACGAAGCTCGAGCACGTCACGTGCAAGCTGACATTGAACAGCCGTACACTAGCCACCGATAATGTTAAAATGTTTACATCCACATTCCAGCCTAACTTCTGAGCAAACCATGCGTTGTAGCATAATTGAACTCTGAAATTACGCCAAGTGTGACTTGCCAGCACGGCACAGTGTTGGGTGAGTTGTTAACTTGTGTCACGCTACCCGGCGCCGAGGCTGCACGCGGGAGACGGGGTGCAAGGCACCCGCTGGTACTAACATTCAGGTGGCCTGAAAATTACTGGTGTGTGTCCGGCTTACGGTCTCTTACCTGTTGAAAGTGATCACTGAGTTTTGTCTCTGTCGGAGCAAGCCTTTAAATCCGGCGGCCTGCACAACACTGATCTCCGGGCGTAGTGAACCACTCTCAAGTCAGGTCGTGCGATACGGCCGCCTCGCACTCGGCAAGCCCACTGCCAAGTCAAACCCAGCCGATGCGCACAGACTGGCGGTGGCGCTAACACGGGTGTCGGCTGCTGCGGCGCAGTGAGCCCTGCACACTTTCGATTCCTTGCCAATTCAACCGACGGGCCGCACGAGCGGCCAGCCGGGCACCACTGCTCACGAGCCGCCTGCCTCGGACGGCGCGTCACGCGCCTGGTACGCGCCTCGCTGACGTCACAGTCGCACCGCTCCGACCGTCGCCAGCGAGTGAGAAGACGACCACGACGGCGCGCGGCTGTGCGCGACGCGACCCTGACGTTGCCGGCCGGCCGCGGGCGCTCCTCTGCAATCCTCCACACCGGGCGGCGGGAGCCGGTCACTGGGGCCGTGGCTGGCCGGCGCCCCGCCGAGTGGGACTGCGCTGCGCCGAATCCAAGGCCGCGACGTGACTCCGCTCCCGTGCCGGACGAGAGAAAGGCGCCGCATGCATCGATGGCACAGGCCAAACCGTTTACGCGAGAACCAGGAGTGGGGACTGGTCCACTATGGGCGGGGTTACCAATTTGTGTCCCTCTCATTTGGCATAACTTTGATTCAAGGCTATAGAAAAACGTGGTAATGGTTATCCCCGCGGGTGTCGATTTGTATTGTTTTGGGTGGGCCAGTGGCGCACCTTATGACCAACTGCCCTCCACCCAACGACGAGATTGGCCTGCAACCTTCTGTGCTCTAAGAACAAGAAAGGCATTAGAATGGGAGATCAAAATTAACTCAATTGTAAGGAATGTTTGTACTCAATGTTCCCCAGCTAAAAAGACCTGTATGCAATGTCATGGTCACTTGAGCGCACACGACTGATCTAGTCACGCGTTTGTAGCTCCGCGTTTGTGCCGTATTTACTTGAGTACTTTCCGTTCTTTTACTGCACGATGCATGCCTTCAGTTACACGATTAGTATGTCTTGTTGTCTTTGGTCTAACTATGAAATATTGCCTGAGAAGCCTAGCATTATTCAGAGTGTTTCCAGCTCCATGGATTGTGAAAAGCTGCGTTATTTTGCCGAAACGTCTTATCTGGAAATGAAAACAAGCTGGTCGAATGTTGGTAGCCAAAAACGTGACAGAGTCATCAGCCGGCTACGTTCGAATGAACCCTTGAAATGTGCTGACCTCCACTTCGGCGTTAATACTCGATGGAACAGCGCGAGTGCTTGACGATCGACACTAGACGAATGAACTAATAGCGACAATAGTCCGTCAGTGACCACCAAAAGAACACCTCTGTTCTGCACCATGCCCACCGCGAGTGTCGTGATGCATTCCATCCCTCCTTGCGGCCTCCAGCTGGCGGTTTTCTTGGCAGCCTTTAAAATTCGCGCAGATTAACGTACATCCCTCACAACTGAAGCCACACAAGCACAACGTCTAAAGCTACATAACGTCGACCCAGGTCCGTTACCGAAAGCTTGTTTCGACGATCAACGCCATACAGTCTGAAAATGATGTCCAACGACACCATGTTCCGCCTTGACGGAGCAAATAAACTTATTAAAGAAACGAAGTAGTCCCTTTTTCATATAGGAGCGAATCCAACTCCATTACGTCAGGAAGAAAGTGGGTGAAATGTGGGAATATATCTATGTTTAGTGCATTTCGGCCAGGCTTTCCTTGCTCAGGCCCCCAGACTGTTTTACACAACTACACCCGTTTGTTGGAGGCTTAAAGGGAGTGTTCCACATCTTATGATATTGAAGCAGGCATCAGCTATGGTGAAACAAGCTCACTTATAACCACTGGTATACTTTTAAACAGAGAATACTGCTCTAGGCAACACAATCTCTCTGTTTAGTAAATATGCTGTTCAATACACAATTGTTTAATTACGTTATCGTACCTAGTACATCATTGACTGAGAGCCAATCGACGGCTGTTATATCTGGAATTGGCGCTCACGAACGCCAGACATTTACTACTTGACAATTCTATTTTTCTTGGCTTTGATCGTCGCATGGCTAGTGAAGTGATAGGATTTGAATAAGGCTATGATGACGTCATGGACGCCCAGCTGACTTTCATATAGCCTCCCCGAAAAAGTTTGCACATCTTAACGGGCGTGTAGCTCAGAAACTCGAGAGGTTTGAGTCTTAAGAAGGCCAGAACCGTGAACTATACCGAATAACCTCCAATATGGCTGCTTGAATTCAAAACCTCATTCAAAGGTAGAACTCTCCCTGTAACGACCGTGAGATGTAACGGTTCGCGACCAGATTACTCCAGCGTCAGGTGTTAGACTTAGGGCTCAACGGCCAAGTCTGGGGCCCGCGATTTATATCGGTCGGGGCCCGCGATTCATATCGGCCGGGGCCCGCGACTTACATCGGTCGGGCCACTGAGATAATGAGGGAGCCCGCTGTATCGGTATCGGGACCACAATGCTTAACAAGGATATTATATTGTGGGAGTGCTTTTGTATGGCAAGCAGCCCATATTCGGCCTGGGGCAGTGTTTGAGGGAGCCCGCAGAGGAGCCCGAAGGGCTTCTTGGAGGTGGAGATCAGGTACCCGATAGGAGGCTGTAGGTTACATTTAAAACCCCGGCCCATAGAGTCTGGCCCTAAAATGCCTGCCAATGGGCTTCTTGCAACGGTTTGGGAAGCCCTGGTACCATGCAGGTCTATTTCGGTCAGAGATCACCAACACCAAACAGTAGGCTCCGTGTCGGTTTGGGCACTGTGGACCCATTTCCCAAGCAGAGCAAGGCCAGGACCGGCGAATTGTACTGGCCGAGACTCCTGAAGCAATCAGGGCCCTGTATCGGTCTAGAGCCCACTGACCTGACAAATGGTCCTTTGTCGGCAAGGGGCAGGAGTCGGCCACGGGAACACTTGCTGAACACTGACAGGGACTGGACCGCGAACGTTAGGGGACCTGTTCCGTTGTTCGGGGCCCGCTGACAGCGAACTTGGATATGAAAATTAACGACGAAAGTCCACGATGAGACAAAAGAAAGTCATTTTCAGTCAGGGTACCATTGCAAAGTGGTGATGCCCCAGCCCATTTCACATAGAGGGCCCATTGTGGTGAACTGGAGTCTCTGTGCCAATTCAGTTATTGGACGCCTACGGTGACACCATATGTTTGGACTCAGAGAGTCTTCGGCGTCAGGCAGGCGGTCGGTGTACAATTGATCCCATTGAAGGCTTTCCCACTGATCAGGTGACTCCGCCCCCATCTCTCCAGAATGACAGCCGGTACACACCCCGCAAAAATGTGACCAGCATCCATTCAACGGGCATTTTCGGGCGCTGCCGGCGCGCGACAACAGTGTAATAAGTATGCACAGGGCGCTCCAATAATAGCACAGGCATTTTTTACGCCACAGTGACAGCCAACCTATGGGCATTTCGACGCACTCGCTGAAAGCAGTTTGCTTTTGGCCTTGATCTTCTTCAAGTATTAGCCTGGCGTTGATGCCATGACTAAACACAGTGTTGAAAAAATGTGTCACAACGCCAAAGTTGGAACAAAGTTTCGCACGCCGCTCGTTCGCTCCACCAAAATCTTATCTTTAGTAACCCAGGTTAAATGTAATAAAACAGTGCAATAGCGTGATGTCTCACACGGTGACTCTGTGACCTAATCCAAAGAAAAATGTAAAATTCTGGCTGGTTGTGTAATCTAGCCCATAGCTTGGCGCCCAAACCCCATTGCTGGATACGCTTTGTAGCGGAATGTTTGCCGACCAACAGAGACGTATGTTCGTGGTGTTCAGCATTGCGCTTACCAACACTAGCACACCCTTTCAAACATAACAAAAATCCCGTTTACTCGCTGAAAAAACGCCAGCTAGGCATCGCAACAACTTAGCAGATAAACGAAGTCGCAAACATGACTGACATAGGGTCTTTAGACATGCACAAGTGTGAGACGTTCAACTGAGAGGCTCGGGAGTGCGGGGAGGACGTAAGTTCTTCATGGCTAGGCCCGCCTCCGTCCTCCACAACCAGAAATGCGTGCTGCCACCAATGACCAACACAGAAAAAGTGATATGCTGTCTCTGGAGGTGCGCCTTTTCTTTCCGATCAGAAAGGACTCGTGCCTCCAGCGTCTTCCCCGACCCTCCCTCCTTCTCTTGAATCTGCGCCTTCATGGCCACTTTGGTGCTTAAATTAAGAAAGATCAATGAATGGTACACATCTTAAAAATATGCAATGCTTTTCGTTCAAATACAGTGAGCTAAACTTTTTGTGAAAAATGACAGGAGGTTAGGCCGTCGGGCTGTCAGCTCCCCCCCCCCGTCCAATTGTTTATAAAAAACCACACTTCTGTCCTGCAGCCTGAAATATATGTTATGAACATCAAAGCAGGGCCGGTAAAAATCCGAGGTTAGCAATATACTTGGTGTGTTTCGGTCAAATTCACGAGGTAGTCTCGGAAGAGTTTAAGGCACTAGACCTTTGTCAAGGTCGCTTTTCATTCACACATAGAGGGAATTGTTGAAATGCAGGAACAGGCAGCCTCCCTCCCTAAAAATACCACAGGCACACGCACCTCTGCGCTCTAGAACACTCTCGGCGCTGAAAGAGTGCACACATTTGCCATGGCATCTGCCGAAGCAATCACACCCCTTACCACTGGTGTTCTCGCATCCATTCCCAGGTTTTGTTGATCTCCGGTGACCTGCGTGAACCCACCCAATGCCCGTCTTCTGCGCGGATACCACGTCTCGCGGGGCGTTGCCGGCGCAATGGCTCCAACCGTGGCCAAGGCTGGAAGGTGGTTTAACAGATCCGTGCATCCCCAGGGTATTTTATTCACACGGTACAAGAGATGCATGATTCATATGTCTCGAAAAGGCATACCAGTTGCAGTGGGTAGTAGGTGTCGGCATGTACGGGTGCACACTTGCGATGACAGACATCAGGTCAGGGATTAAGTATAGGAGCTTCAGGCCTCAACACTGGAGTTAATTTGCACACACCGCTTCCGCCAGCTGTTTTTTCTGTATGTCATGCCAGAACATTTGTGTTAGATAGCTCTAAGAGATATCTTAACGCTAGCGCCTGGTGCAACTGCACGGCTTCAGCATCGCGGTCGTCAACAACTAGCATTGTTTGCCGCAAGACAAAAAGAACGTGTCGTCCAAACGAACCTCCAAAGTTTCCAACCATCCAAAAACGCCTTTGACTAACAAAAGTGCTGATGTCGTCGCGCCCTGTAACAAACACCTGCCACTGAGTTAAAAGCCGGCCGAAGTCTGTGTTGCTTTGTGGATTTCTCGGACTTCTGTCGCATTTCATGCGATGC